ACGTTACGCTACACCAAGCAAGAAAATTCACAAAGTAATAATATATATATCATTAAAATATATTCTATAAAATATTGACTAATAAAATAACGAAATCACTAGAGTAATAGCATATATGGTATTACTATGGTGTTTTTTTTATTAGTCAATATTTTTATAGAATTCTGTCAAAAATAAAATATTAGGAATTAACAAAATTTGATAACTGCTCTATGTAGAGAAAACTTTACTGGTCCTCATAAATGAGCAGTTGTGTTCAAAGAAGAAGAAGTACTAAATCAGCTTTAAATACAGAAGCTGATATGGATGGAACTAGGTCCTCATGTGTTCAGTAATTCAGTATGGCGCTATACCAGGCACTTTTGAAGCACCATAGTAATAGCATACTTAGTTTCTTACTAGTTTTATTACTAACTTTTGATATTTCTTACTGTAATTTAGCTAAGATCATATAGATCTGTTACTTTATAGTGAGTTGACAGTTGCACAAAAAGATAGTAATTTTTACAGTTCAAAAAGATAATAGAAGAAATTAATTTCAGCTAAACTATGTGCACCTCCATAAAACTGTTTTTATATATATGTATATATATATATATATATATATTTATATATATATATATATATATATATATATATATATATATATATATATATATATATATATATATATATATATGTATATATATATATATATATATATATATATATATATATATATATATATATATATATATATATATATATAAATGTGTATATATACACATAATAAATAAGATACTGAAAGTTAAATATGTATATTTAATACATTTATTTTTATTTATGTTTACATTTAATTGTGTTAAACTTTAATAAAAAACTCACAAACATTTTTTTTCATTCCATAAGATGTTCACACTTTGTAAAATATGTCTAAAAAATGTCTTTACACCTTCTAAAAGTGTGTTTATTATCTGAATGTCTACTTCAGTATTCCAATATTTTGGAATAAACTGAACCCGATAATCAGTTAGCAAACAATTCTTTGTAGTTTATTACAACCTCGGAAACAACTGGCAAATTATTTAATCATTTATATCTATATTTTTACTTGTTTTTAGCAATGTTTTCTTTTAAATATTAAATATTAAATTTCCGCGCAAAACATAACAATGTTTTGGGTTAACCAAGATGGCGGCTGACTTTCAAAACTGGCTTCATCGCGTTTTATATAAAGTATATACTACGGCGTCTCCTGTTAATTAAACCTCCTTGGGTTAAATAAATCGAAATATACTTCACGTTTAAAATAAGGCTAAAGTAAAAAAAATTGCTGGTTTTTATTAGCATTTTTATACTGTTTGAAAAAAAATAATAATAAAAAAGAATTAACTAATAATATATTAATTAATAATTATTAGAATTGATAATAATAACAATTAATTCTTTTTTATTAGTTTTTTTTTTCAAACAGTATAAAAATGCAAATAAAAGTCAGTAATTTTTTTGCTCTAACGTTTTTAAGCCTTATTTTAAACATGAAGTTTTGATAAACAAAGATAAAAACGAACTTTTCAACTTTTTGCTTTAACAACCTTGTAAAAATTTTCCACGCAGAGATTTAAAGTAATTTAAATTCAAAAATGTTTAACGTTGAAAGAAAATCTCCGCGCGAAAGAGCAAATCTATCTATTCAGAATAATAAATTTTGTGTGACGTTCTTTATGATAAAAACATTACTTTTAAGGATTGCTAAAAAAAATGCCAAGCTAGAAAAAAAGTAATTAAACAACCAAAAAAAAAAAAAAAAAATCGCGAAAAGATTTTTTTTAAGAAAAAACTAATCACAAAAGTGTGAAAAGCAATCGCGATCGCGATACGCTTAATACGAGCCCTGTAAGACTTTTTTATAAGTTCTAAACTATTAAAAACTATTACTTAATAACTTTTTTTTAACGACGTCTTTCAACCGAATGATATTATACTGTTTTTGCAAAACTAATTAAAAAAACTTGATTAAAACTTAACTATTTAATCACGACTTTTTTTTACTTGAAAATCGAAGTAGATATTTTAAAGTTGTTGTGACGTACTAACGTGATTTTTAACGACTAACAATCGAGTTTCAATGGTGAAAAAATAAAATCAAAATGGAGTTGTTTTTCAGTGATTTCGGCAATTGCTTTTTGTTAGCATATATTTATTATTACAATTTAGTGAAAAAGAAAAAAAACTTACATATTTTTTTTTTATGCTTTTTCATATGAGATCATATGTTAGGAGCACTTAGGGATCCCTTTAATACTTAGCAGCATTTTAAAAATTCAATTTAATGAAAATAAGGCAATACTTGTAAACATATGAAATGTAAGTAAAAACTTCTACAAACCAAAGATTTTCTTATTTAAATGACTTAAAAAGTATAAATAAAGTTGTATTACTAAAGTATTTTTTTAAAGTTGCTCTTGGTCTTGCGGAAAAACTGTTTTCGATTTGATAACTTTCATAAATGTTATGAAAAATAACTCAGGTTGAGTGCCACCAGTTTTTAAAATTTCCTTTATTAATTATCTTTAATGAATAAGTTCAACTCTTTTGCAATTCTTTTGTTACATAACTTGAACTTTTTTATAATAGATATAAAAAATCTGAAATAATAATCACTTGGTAATGTAAGTTAAATATATAGTATCAAAAAAAAACAGTTTATTTTCCTTACCTGGTCACCTCTGATAAATTTTCTTACCTGGTCACTTCTGATAAATTTCCTTACCTGGTCACCTCTGATAAAAATTTTATATATTTTTTGAATTAGTATAGAATTGTCAACATCTTGTAAAAGTTTCTAATACAATTTGCTTTACTGATTTGCAGAAATCTGACATAAAGGTTGAAGCAATTTTTTACCTTGTTTTCTGTGTAATGTAAGTGGCATTTTTAGTAATAAGTTCATCCACTTTCGGCCTACTTGAAACTTTTTAGCTTATTTTATTCTTTAGACTAACAGCTTTCATACAAAATAGCTAAAATATTATTTTACAGTTTAAATAGGAAAATATTTGATAAGTTATTGCGCATGCGCTTTTGTGAAATTGGGAATTTAGGTGCAGCTAAAAAAAAAAAAAAAAAGGTCCTTACATTCTGCAATTAAATTTTAATCAAAATAAATTTTCTACTTTAGCTGGGAGTTACAATTACAGCAGGATCATTTTTCTACTTTATATATGTTTAATTTTAATCAACTTGTTTCATTATGAGCAATCTTCTAAAGTTTTCTTTTTTTTTTTTTTCTTTATTGTTGATATACTGCAGCCATTTTTCAAAACGCCTTTATTACGTATATCAAGAAAAGCGCAATTAAAAAAAATTATTAGGAGAAACTCTTTGTAAAACACTTTTTGAAACTAATAATTTTTACGAATTTTTTTTAGAACTCTTTGAAAATATGTATTCAATAACGTTTGTAGACATCTAAAGCATATTTTGTAAAAATGTCAAAATTGATTTTTTTTTACCTAAAGGCGTTTTGAAAAATGGCTGCAGTATAGTAGAGAGAAAACAAGAGTAAAAGACAATTGTTTGCAGTTTTAATAAATAAGTTATTAAATTTCATTGAAATTTTGATCTATTTTAATTGTGTAATTCGCTTTTTAAATACAGGTTTAAACGAATTGTTCTGAAGAAATATATTTGAATATATAACTATTTAAATACTTAAAAATTTAATCAGCATGTTTAAATATCTAGTAAATTAGGTATTTAAATAAGAAATATATTTAAATACAAAATTATAATTATTTTTTTAATTTACAAATATACATTAAATATCTACTTAATTTTTTGTATTTGTAAATTAAAAAAAAAAAAAAATTTGTATTTATAAATATTGGCTAATAATTAATAATATTATAATATTTAATTATTTTCTTTTATGTTTTACACAAATATAACATAGATAATATGTTTCATTGCAAGTTTTATTTTTGATTATTTTTGTTGTTATCTTTGGTTTACTTTACTAGCTGATTTATTTTACCAAAAGTATTAATAAATCTTTTATTATAAAAACGTTATTAACTTATTTGAAGTATAATATTTATTAATATGCGAATTTCTTTGTAACTTTCCTGACTTAAGATAAACAGCAAAAACCTAAATAAAGAGTTTTTGAATAATAAAAATAAATTAATAAAATAATTTATTAAACATATTGAAAAATCTGAAACTCCAGAATAAATGACGTCAATAAAAATTTTTAAAAAAAGTTTTTTTAAACTTTTGAATGAATGATCTTGTTAAGGTTAATTACGCTTGTTAATGACGACACGTTTTTACACATTAAAAAAAAATCAATAAATTTAATTCATTTTTTCGTCATGCATACTAATTTACTAGTCTAGCGCGACACTTTAAATCTGAGACTGACTTAATTTTTTATTTTTTTTACTATGATCTTATAAACCTTTGGGAATTTTAAACCAATTGGGAATACCGCGTTATACGCGGTGCCATCAGACTGGGTAACACCCTGATATACATGGTCAAAGTTTTTTAGGACTTTTATGCTTTAAAAAGAACTTGATATGTTTATACAGAGTATAATCTTCTATCTTTTTTAATCACTTATTTCTCAACAATAGTATTAACAAATTTAAGAATTTCATCAGGCAACTGTAATTTTAGTTTTAACAAGTTCATTCATACAAACATTACAAAACTGACATTTTATCTGTATTGTTTTTTATTACCCAAGACTTTTCCTCAATTATTTAACTTTATTTTCAGCTCAGTAATTAAATTAATTTTTTTTTTAAGTATTACCACCAGTATTTTATAAAATCGCCCAGTGTATTTTACAAAAAAAAGTTATTAATGTTTGTAAAAAAATTGTAATAAAACAACGAGTTTTGGTAGGAAGAATCATAAGAATGCATCTTAATGATTCTGTCTAAGAATAAACTTAAAGTTAAAGAAAAAAATAAGTGTTTTTATCTTGTTACCTTTTGTCTCTATATTTTTAG